AATACATGCTAGAAAAATGGCACTTTCTATGTTAACGACAGTGTGCACATGTACCAGGAGAAATTTTTCCCACTCTCCCTAAGTCCCTACAACTTTTCGGGTTGTAAAAGGTCAACCTGTAACAGATGCCCAGGGAATCTGCCTGGAATTTAGATGGCCTCTGTTGGGTTTCACTTTGCACTTATTAATAATGTAACACTGGGATAAAAATAAAAACAAAGGCTCTCCTCTTACAGGGTGAGAGCGTGGGTCATGTGTGCTATAAGCCATGCAGGTAAGATGAGCGGAGCCCTGTGGGGTCGCCAGTCTGAAGAGCTGTTTCGTTGGGCTGGCGACTCCCTCCTGCAGAAACACTGCTGCAGAATTAAAGAGAATTAATGTAATTGCTCCCAAGGAGGGAACTTCATTTTTTGCTTTTCAAAGGCTGTTTGTATAAGCTTTGATTATCTAATCCAAACACAGAAGCTTTCTCCAAGCTGTTTTCCCGTTAGAGCCATGGTTAGCTTTCAAGTACTGCAACGTCTTTAGGGTTGAGAAAGAGCTGCGTTATAAGAAGCTCTGTTATATAACCTGCCATTTGGGTTGCAGTAACACTATGTTGTAATATTGACTACTACAAATGGTCTTCAAAGCGGGGGTTGATTTAAGAGGATTTTGCAATTATTTGAGCTTCAACTCTAGTCCTAATTCTCTCTAGAGGACTTGTGCCTTGTGACTGGATTGCTTTGGTTTTTTTTGGATTTGGATTTCTGTTTTGCAGTAATAGAGATTGAATCTTGAGCCTCACTCCTTTTTATTTTTAGTTGTTATTTTGAGATAGAGTATTGGTAAGTCACAGGCTGGGCTTGAACTTGTTACTCTTCTGCCTCAGCCACCCAGAGTGCTGGAATGATAGATGCGCTGATCTCAGTGAGTCCTGCTGATCACTACCTTTAAATTCATTTGCTTTGTGTGTGTGTTTTTTTTTTCATATTGAGTTCACTTTGATTGGTGTGTGCTTTATTGACCTTCACTTCATTTGCCAAATGAACATGAGGTCCTGTTTTTAAAGCTCGGTGAACTTTTTATCTAGTCCTTTTATTTCTTTAGAGAAGTCAAACTTGCAGTGCTTTCTAGTTCTGCAATTGTTAATAAATACATTTGCGACATTGCTAGTAGAATAATGTAGCTTAAAACTCAAAGAAGGTTTGTACATAGAGAGGAAAGCCTACTTTAAAAAAATGGGTGTCTGCCATTCTTGTAGTTAAAATGCTTAGGGTGTTGATGTGGGGGGACATATTGAGGAAACAATGCCATTAATTCTAGGTAGAGAATAGGCTAGGAAGTAAATTCGAAGTATAGATAAAAATGACCAATGCCCTCAGCTCAGAATTAAAATATCAAATTGTATTTGGAAGAGAGTCAGACTCTCCCCGTGGTTTATACTGTGCTTCAGTCTGGCCACTGCTTTGGCTCCTGCCCCTCCTCCCTCCCTCCCTCTTTCGCCCTTCGAGCCACACTGAGCTCCTCTCCAACCAGCTCACAAGCTCTTTCTCCCCTCCGGGACCCTTGCCCTTTGCTGGAAAGGCAGCGCTCCTGCCTCATCCATTTTTACCCATCTCATTGTGATTTTAGTGGGTTTTGGAGAGCAGCTGGCTTTTCTCAGAGCAGAGGACTCAGCAGCCATCCGGCAAGTGTTCTGCTCGCTGTGAATGTCTGTCAGAGATCCTCAGCGCTGGGCGAACTCATGCAGACCTTCTGTAGAGGTCGAAGAGGCCTGTGTTCTTCTCGAGTGAACACACAATGCAGTGGCAGAGGTCTGACTGTCCCTGGAATTGTGTCTGGGCAGTGTGCTCTAGGAACAGCTCTGTTGTCTTCAAGGATCTGCCTTGTGCGTCCAAGCACTCACCCATCTTTAAGCCAAAGGCTGATGATTGATTGGTTTCAAGCTGAAAAGGAGGCTATTGAGTTTGAGCCCAGCCTGGGCAACTTAGTGGTGCAGTTAGACCATCTTAAAACAAGAACTAGAAAAGGACTGGGGATGTAGCTCAGTGTGAAGGCCCTGGGTTCTACCCAGTACTGGACAACAACAACAACAACAGCAACAACAACAACAGCAACTATCTCCACGATAGTTGTCACTCCAAGTGGAAGAAAGGAAATTCAAATCTGGTGAGTAATAAAACTAGTTTTGTGTCATTCTTTGGTGGTATTCTAAATATTACTATTTATCTGTCTTAGGTAATCTATTTAAAGAAGACACCCGAAGAAGCCTACAGAGCGCTCCTCTCTGGCTCAAACCCCCCTTATCTTCCATTCAGGTATAACTGCTTGTGACACTTGGGGCTAAACTCAGCTGGTGTTGAGTCACTCTGCTTTTAAGTTGTCTTCGGACAGTGATGATGATGTTATTTTATATGGAATGAAATGAGATGGCAATTTTTTTCTCTCCTTTCCAAAACACAGAAGAAGAAAGAAAAAACCTCCTAAAAAAAAAAAAAAACCCCAAAACAAAATCAAAACACACGAAAAAACCCTCCTACAACAGTCATCTCTGAAGAACTGGGCTTAATTTTAGTACTTTTGTCTTTGTGCTTATTTACGTATCCAAATCTGTAAGCATCTGTATGGCTTATTATTGTTTCTGGCACATAATTCCCAACAAAGAGAGGAGCAGGGTGGCTGGGAGGCCTCTTTGCTTTGTCTTCCTGTTCCACTGTAAACTCACTGAGGGTGAGCTTCGGACCCTTAGGAGCACTTTTGGGAGATGTTTGAATGAATGCATGAAGACACAGTCCTTTAAGATCCAAGAGATTCTCACCTCTGTTTCTGAGAGCCCGACTGACAAAAGGCGGGCACGAGTAGGTGTTAAGCAGGGAGAATGGGACAGGGGAGGGCCACACCCAGAGCCCCAATCTTCCCGGGGAGAGCACATGCAAGGCCCCCTCATCCTCGAGCAGGCCTGTGTATAAGAAAATTGGAGAAAACAATGTCAGATTAAATATAGGACAGTTTTAAGAAAACGCAAAAGTTTCTTCTTCAGCTTCTCATTTCTAGTGGCTCCTATAATTTGAAAGCGCTTTGTAAAATAGAATCTGTTTTGTCAGAAGAGGTAACCGTGCCTCAGTTCTAAGCCAGGTGGTTTACTCCATTTTTTTTAGAGATACTAGGTTTGAAGCCTCATTCTGCTCCTTCCTGTCTTTAGTAAGTGTAAGTAACCTGGGCAAATTACTTACCCTTTCTGAGCCTCAGTGTCCTTATCTGTAAAAATGGCTACAGGTTATTTCTAAGATTAAATGAGGAGCTAGTGCAGCTGTCCTTATACCCTGGGTGGTACCGAGTTTTTGTATTTCTCATTGTTATTATTAATGAGAAATAAGTATTATCCACAACAATTCTAAATACGATGACTAAGCGGTCTTTTCATGATCTGATATTTTAGTAGAGGCAGGCAGGTCTGCAGGCATAAATGAACTGTAGAAACATTAGGCTATAGCACAGCTGGGAATGGAAGAGGGACATTAGGCCCAGGTGTGTCCCATGGAAAGTCCAGAGATGTTTGCTGTGTCTGAGGCAGTTTGAGAACACCTCTGAGGGGAGAGAGGAGGCATTAACTGGAGAGATTACTGAGAACCTTTTCTGTGGACAGGGCGAGCCTTTTTTTTTTCAAATCTGAGAAATATTTGCAGGTTGTCTTCTTTTCTGTCCTTTCTTTTCTTTGCAGTACTGGGATTGGAACCTAGAGCCTTTACACTGAACTATATTCCTGGCCCTTTTTTATATGTAGAGTAATATTGGAGGACAGAATGAATTTTGTTGTGCTAGGTAATTTGCTTCTTGAGAACTAGCATTTGTGAATAATTAACAAGACCAGAAGAGAAAGAAAAACACCGTAAGAAAATTATTACGAGGTAACAGAATCATAGTTATCACAATTACAGCCTATTTTCCCAAATAGTTGAAAATATAAATATATTAACATACTCCAGATACTAAAATTATATAGAAAATATACAGTGAAAATGTTCCCTCTCTCCCTTGATCCTTCCTCCTCCTTTCCAGATAACTTCTGCACATATAAAGAATAAGGATGTACATTCTTATTGTTCCCATTTTGATCATGTGATATAGCACACCTAATATACTACACCTTATTTTTTTCATTTAGTTCATTTCAGATACAGAAAGCATCATTCACCCTTCTGTTTCATTGCTGTTTAATGTACTAGAATGCTTATAACCAGTCTCTTATAGATTCACATGTTGCTTCCTATCATTTTCATTGTAGTTTTTTTTTAAAACTCCGTCTCAAATTGTTTTATGTTTTTCCAGTTTTTATTTTTTATCAGTGCACGGCTGCAGTCCATGATTACACTCCGTGTGGGAAGTTGGTACATGTACATCACACAATCACATTATGTTAAAAGAAAGAATCAGAAAATGCACTAGAGAATGTTACTACATTGTGGTTAGACATAAGGAGATTTTAGCAATCTGTTAAAAGGTCCTCACATGAAAAAGAATGCTTAACACAAGTCCGAGGCATCTGGCCCTTTCTTTAGGCACCTGTTTCCAACTTAGAGTTTGACGTGAAGTGTGCCTCAAGTTGTATCTTTCTGATAACTCACCCCGAGATTTATGTTTGCATCAAGTTGTTTCTCTAAATGCAAACTGCATAAACTGTGCCTTTGAAGCAGAACATACCAAGAAGTGGTGAATTTGTAATTCAGTGACGAATTTAGATGAGAAAATACTATTGATTTTTAGGAATTGAACTAAAGAAACTATTTTTTTCTAAGATGTGTGCTGTTTTTTACCTCACTGAGGTAAAAGAACATTATCAAGAATTATTCTCAAAAGAAAGTTATTATTGTACTAATTCTAGTCAGCCACCATTGTCTTGGCCTTCGTTATAATCTGGATTATATCATCTACCAGCATTTTTACTCCACTTGTTGTTAAATCACACTCTCGTTTTCATTGTTTAGATTTTTTCCACTGTTGCTATATTAAACTTATCTGAAAACAGACTTCCAGCTAGATGTAATTGTATTGCTTAAAATTCTTTAAAAAGGAAGACTGTTTTGAAGCCTTATTGAAGATATGGTTGGCATTTTCAGATTTCCTCTTCACTGAAATGCGTGGGTTCCCATATGTGCTATATCTTTTAATGATCTTTCTAATAAGGGAATTTTATGACTGCTCTGACTTTAGATAATGCTACTGTTCAAGATTTTTTCATTTATCAAACAGTCATTTGAGCAGTCAATTCTATAAAAACCTTTCCTCATTTTTCTGGAGAAGCTTGGCAAGTCCTTTTCTTGCCATCTCTTGTTGCACTTTGTGGATTACAATGTTCCATACACCATTAAAGCAAATGTCTTGTATAATAATTGTTTGTTTGCAGGGCTAATTCTTCTCTTGAGGATGGAAATTAAGTTCATTCCTCTTTTGTGTCCCAAAGGACTAAGTACATGAATTTATTGCTTTTTTTCTGTGTCAGTCACTGTGATAGTTCTGTGGATCTAAAAATGGTTGGGACAACTTGATACCTACTGCAAGGGAACTCATTGTATAGTTTATGTAAATGTACAGGTATATGAAACAATTGTGGTGCTTTATTAGAGTTAGGAGATCAATGTTACAGGAACGTTGGAGAAGGAGGCATAACTGGAACTAGGGGTAGGGCATGTTAGGAGGAGACACCATAAAATTCCTTCTGTGTGGAGATGAAAACTAGAACATGACAATCCAGGTGCTGACTTTAGGTCCTGTAACTTTTCATTTATATGGCATCAGATTCCTTTTAAAAAGTGATATGCTAGGCTAGATCTAAATAATATGATAGTTATAGTATAGGCACATTATTACAAACAAAGAGATAGCCTGATTTTTTTATTTGGAATTATATTTAAATTATTTAGTTTTCTAGTGAGCAAGTTAAAAATTCACTAAAATCAGACAAATTAAAAAAGAAGATGGGGCCAGGGATTTAGCTCAGTGGTTCTGCCGCCTGCCTCGTGAGTGCAAGGACCCAAGTTTGATCCCTGGTACAAAAAAAAAACAAAAAAAAAAAAAAAAAAAAAAAAAAACCCAAAAAAAAAAAAAAAAAACAAAAAAAAAAACCCAAAAAACAAAAAGAAGAAGACCATGTATGTAACTTTACTATCTCTTCTTGAGTGATAGTTGAGTACCTGGGTTGATGTGATATTTGGGAAATGTTGTGATATTACTATTTGTGAATCAGTCAGCCCTAGGGTGTTCCCTTGAAGTGTGAGATATCTGTGTCAAAATTATACTTTTCACTTGTACTAAGAATAGCCAATGTGTTTATCAACAGTGACTCTAGATGAAAACTAGAGGCAGAGGGTATTTTCCATCTACTTTAATTCTTTTGAGTCCATCCATTTTCAGTGTTGTCTTGGCAGCTGGCCTTTCAGGGAACAAGGAGCCTTTCAGTTCTGGGGGCAGCATCAGCAGAGCTGAGCTGGCAAAGGATCTTTTGAGGCTCTGTCCCTTTCATTCTATTAACTAAACTTTGTGTATCCTACTGGGCAAACATTCTATACAGTAATTTTAATTGCTCCATATCTAAAGTCTTAAAAGACCACTGGCCCTTTATGGAACCTCCAGCTTGCTTTTGTGGTGGTCAGTGGCAGTGGTTTTCATCTCTGCATTCCTGGGTATTCATAAAAGAGTGTTTGCAAAAATTTAAAGTGTCAGAAAGCACTGATAACCAATTAGTCTAATTTGCACAACTCTCCTTTGAGATCTATTTTATGCTTCTTAATTTATTTTACAACACTTCTTTGTTTTCTGATTGATACACACCAGTTTGGTAAGTTGTTTGGTCTACTCATGATGATTTCTAAATCTGCCAAAACCTAATTTTTCTGTAACTTACAAAACTAAAGGGGGATAAAATTATTCAGACAACAGATAGTATCCCAGGGCCTAGTTTTGAAGGCATATCCAGAAAACATGGAAAGTAGTAAAATGGCAGTAGTATATTGTGTCAATGTCTAATGGAATAAGCTGATAGAAGTTGGATGTCCTGTCTCTAGTTGTTGTTTTTTTTGTTTTTGCTTTTTAGTTTGAAGGATAGCCTAGAACTTGTAGGTTAGTGTTTCCAAAATTATGTTGGTTCTCAAACTTGTTTGCATTCCTGGGAAGCTTTAAAGAACCATACATCACTGGGGTTCTAACTCCCAGGGATTCTGATGAGATTGCCCTGGAAGGAAGGCTGGGGATTGAATTTTTGAGACCTACCTGCATGATTGCAACATGCGAGTATGTGACAAAGGTCAAGAACTGGTCTAAA